TGTTGTAACTATGTTTTTTTATAACATTAAGTGACGGGACGAACAAGTCGTGCGCCTGATGGTAATCAACACGCCTGTCCATAACAGTTACAGTGCCACTCAGAGCTTCAAATTACAAAGATATGAGGGGCACTACCACTGCGCCCGTCACCCTGAGACATAAGTTGACAAGTACCATGTGCCTGTAATTTCACCAGCACCCTTACCCTTCAAAACCGGAACACAGTAATGCTGACATGACTGCTTGGCGGCAGAAATAGGTAAGGTATCAAACATAAACCCTGGATGTTAAGTGAAGACGTGGGCGAGGATAGAATACATTGGTAGAAGATACCTACTCAATTTGACTTAAGCATTTTTTTTATACATATAGTTTGCTGTTTTCGAGAAATGTAGAACACGGCAAAGAGTAAAACTTGGCTGTACGGAAAATGAACGTTTTATTTACTTGTAATATTGATTGACGGATATAGACTACTGGGCTGTTCCGGTTTTGAACGGTAAGGGTGCTGGTGAAAGTACAGGCACATGAAACTTTCAACTTATGTCTCAGGGTGACGGGCGCAGTGGCAGTGCCAGCTCCCGTAGCATGCCACCGCGATAAAACTGTTATATCCACATTTAGCTGGCAAATTCGAGTGATAAAACCGCCATTTTAAAATTGTATCACCTTAGCTAACATGGTGAGCACCATGAAGTCACGTTTTTGTCGCACCGCACGCGCCGAATATCGCAGTGCCAAACATGGCCGCAATGTCACAGCTGATTTTAAAACATTTTGACAATTCTGCATGATCATTTTAGCAATGTAAGAATTGAGCGCGACAAACGAGATAAACAGAAATGATAAAAAGAAAGAGGTTGTTCATCTTAATAATTGGGAAAAGGCGATGAGAACATTTTTAATACAGTCCTAGACATGAGAGTAATTCGAAATACGTAAATAATACTAATGTAATATAATATTGTCTAGTGGGTGTTTTATATTACGTTTTAGCGAAAACGTCGAGACGGTAAGAACAAGTTCTTTGAAAATGATAAAATAAGCGGAGATGGATTTTCTCTGACATTTTTCACTAAGATTTTGTCTGTGGCTTTTGCAAATTTTGAAAACGTTTGAAAGTTTCCGACGTTTTTCATTATTTATTTACTGAGCATTTACTATAGAGCCACCAATTTAAACAGTAACAAATAATTAAGAAACGCAAACATAATAATACTTAAACTATACTACAAAAACCCGCCATTTTTTGTTTCGTCGTTTTACAATGATCCAAATAAAAGGATTACAATTTTAGCGGCGATTATTAAACGATAAAGATAGCTATACTATATGCAATTCCATATCGTTTATCCTTGTTCTTCAAAATGAATAAAATAGTTCATTCTCAAATAAACAAAAGAACGAATGACAGTGCGGTACCATACCGATTCAGTATTTGCAATAAAAAAATATAATTTTCGTAATGGCAACATAGTTTCATTGACTGAAATAAATTTGTCACGAGGAGGTTTATCACATGCGATATACAGCCATACTCCGCGTGTATATCTTTACGATTTGAAGCTCTGGGTCGATACATAGACACTGGTTCGAGTCCAGTCAGATCAAGACTTTTTTTATTTCTTTGTTCGGTCTCTGAATCTAATAATAATAACAAAATATTTTCACAAATAAATGTTAGACCCACTGACATATTGTAGTTATTTGTTGGAGAAAACTAGAAATTAGTTTTATGAAAAAATTCTCAACATAGCATGGTTTGGGTCTACCTTTTTGGAAACGCGTTGAATGGTTTTCGTGTGTTTTTTTCATAACGTAAACATTTTTTCGGTTCGGTTTGTAAGACGTCATCTTACTAAACATTTCTAGCTAATTCGTATAGACTGCTTAATATGTGAAACCACGGCACACAAAGGGCACACCCCTTAATATATGCTGAATATTTTTAAATCAAACACATTGCAGTCACTAAAAATAATTCTGTAAAAGGAACCATAATAAATGTATAGTTTTATTAGAAATGAATATATCGCCGTCTTTATACAATAACGCAGTATTACCGAATACTACTATTAAATTAAGAATGCAACAACGGCCAGAAAAGCGTAATTTTAATAAATTGAAAAAAAAAAACATTATCACTATTAACCATTCCAAGTCCTAAAATCTAGAATTATTTTAAATAATTATCAGAGATCGGAATTGAGGGAGTTAATTTAGCAACTAAAGAATAACGTGGACATTCCCTCCTTTCTACAAATCCCGGGACTTCTTTTGTTTAGGCGTGCTATATTTCCTATTATTTGCTACAAATTATTGTCTCAAAAAACAATATTGTGCTTGCGTTTCTATACGTGCTTACATATTTAAATACTTTAGCCATTTAGAAAATAAATATTTGACACCTTATATTTGGAACGTTTAGAAAATAAACAGTAAATAAAGAAATTTTATGCGCATTGATAACGAAATGGGTATGTCCAGACTAACAGAGCGTTTATGCTTTACGTAAATTAATTCCCTCAATTCCGGTCACTGATATATGATTGACTGAATTCTTTACAGTTACTAGCCGATAGCTTGGACGTCTTTTTGTTATTATAATTTTATGTCATAAGTAGATATTATATTACTTTCTTATGGTAAGAAAACTCAAAACAAATCTATTCACGTTTAAGAGCGGTTACACACGGCGACTTTTAGCAGCGATGCAAACGCGATGCAATCGCTAATCATCTGCCTTTACACACGCCCGATTTTAAGCAGCGACGCAAGCGCGCGACTGCTCGCTACACTTGGGATTTATTTATAGGCCATTGCATCGATGCTATCTTGCGTTTGTATCGATGCAGTCGCACGTTAGCATCGATGCAATCGCCTATAAATAGCAAGTGTAGCGATGCAATCAGGCGATTCACGAACGCGCGTTTCCATCGCTGCTAAAAGTCCCCGTGTGTAACCACTCTTAAGATTTCAAAGTAAAATTTTTATTCTTCTGCAAGTACTAAATATATAAGTCAATGTTGTATAATATTTTATATTGTATACATGGTATGATACTAAAGCACTTGCGACCCCGCTTTGTGATCCGCCGGGTGGTAGCGATTCACAGCTTGAAAACACTGCTCTATTGTGATAAATCAACTCTTTTGAGAACACGGAGCTGTGCTCTTGTTATAAGTTTAGCTCTTCATATTTTTTTTATTTCTTGTCTTTGTTCTGTATTTTCCGAACGGTACTGAGGATACATTGAATGTCAAAGTGCACATGCCCTTTATCGATGAGCGTGAACTATTTTTAATTATCGTCAGGTGATACAAGTTAAGGGATAAATAGCCAAGATTACTGCGTTTCGGTTTTGAAGAGTAAGGCTGCTTTGTTGAAATTACAGGCACATGTGACTTGTCAACTTATGTCTCAGGGTGGCGGGCGCAGTGGCAGTGCTCATCAGATCTTTGTGATTTAAAAAGCACTGAGTGGCACTGCAACAACACCAGATGCACGACTTGTTCATTCCATCACTAGATTTTATTACAAAAAAAAAACAGAAAAAGCTGTTATGCGCAGGCTTTCGTTTACCAACAGGTGGCAGGCGCACGATTTGTTCGTCCCGTCACTTGGTATCATGACAAAAGCCAAAAAATATTTCTCTACCAAAACTAAAGGATAATAAGTATATTTTGTTCCGTCCCATTTGGCCCGTATGTTTTGCACCAACGTTTCACGATACTGTGGGGATACACGATTGGATATAAATTGCAATATATAAATTGATATAGGATGTGTGTATAAATTTTGCTAAATCTAGCGCTAACTTGGGTCGATTGTTCGACCCGTAAAAGATGTTATTTTCATCGCAATCGTTAACCGACACACAGTTCGTTTTATGAATAAGTATGCAAGTAAATGTTCGCAGTGATTAAACAAATAAAACGACCATTGTATTGGCGTATTTTTATTTTCCATTCTATAAATAGTGAAAGAGCTGTTACCCGAAAAAAACTAATATAGCGTCATCGATCGTTAAGATGACTGGATAAAAGAAAGTTTGAAAATTGGTGAAGTTTTAAACTAATTGGAAGAACAATATAAATTAATATAAAGGTATCAAGCAACAGTAATTCATTCAGCTTATTCGGTGTGTTCAAAAATATTTCATATCTAATATCCTATAGATAAGCAACACGTTTATTTATAATAGTTACATCTTCAGTCTAGTTCATTCTCGAATCTTATATTTAGTTATTCTGTTTATGATGGTATTCAGTATTTAATGTTGTTGTCAATATATTTTTTTTATAATATCAAGTGACGGGACGAACAAGTCGTGCGTCTGACGGTAAGCTACACGCCTGTCCATAACAGTTGCAGTTCCACTTAGAGTATTTAAATCGTCAAGATCTGATACATAAGTTGACAAGTTCCGTGTGCCTGTAATATCACCAGCACCCTTACTCTTCAAAACCGGAACCCAGTAATTCTGACATTACTGCTTGGCGGCAGAAAGAGTTAAGGTGGCAGTACTTCCATGGACGAACTCTTTCACAAGGAGCTCTACTGCTACTGAAAAAGCATGGACTCTACAATCATATCTTATCTATGATTCATCTCTTTACTATTATGATTGTATAACGTAAATTAAATTTCTTACAAGAATTTTTCACAAAATTTCTAGTAGAAACTTGCTTTTATATTTGAAACTATATTGGGGCAAACATCCGTTAGTTAATATAAAGGTATCAAGCAACAGTAATTCGGTTATTGCTGGGACATAATTAAGTTTCATCTCAACATCATCGGTTGTCGCTTGTATTAAATTATCATTTTATTAATAACACATTTTAAACATGCGAATAGAGGTAAAAACGAATGACTGTAGCTTAAATGGCAGCGCAATTCTTTGTTCGTATTAACGTTCGATAAAGCTTCTAAAAGTTGGACAACGAGACGACATCCTCCCTCCGCGGTCGGATTACGAATGGCGCTTTGGTTGCAGGGTGCCGACGAGCAACTTCACCGTGAACGATGTGCGCATGTGCGTTGGTTCGCGCCGGGTGCTAGATGTTATGGACGTTAACACACAGAAGAATATTGAAATGACTATGAAGGTAAATGAATCTGCAATGAATACAAACAAGCTGGACAAGGTTTATCTACTTTTACACAACAATAGAGAATACATTTTCAAATAATATAAAACCTTTTGGATTACTTACGTGAACACGAAAAATTCTACAGGTAAATACATATTAGCAAATACGTATTTGACCTCAGTGGCCCAACGGTTTCCATTTTGTATTGCGGGTGTTGAGTGAGAAGGTCCCAGGTTCGATTCCCGGTAGGACCGATTTTGGAAATTAATTCTTGTAAATTATTTCAGGTCTGACATTGTATTTCGAAGTGTTTATCTTTTGTGATGAATGAGAAAGTGTCTTTGATAATCTGATTTGATATTGAGATAGTTGTCACTTCCTTGTTTTATATCTTAAGATGTGCGTTTAAGACGTTTAAGATGATTATTTTTGAAATTATTCAAGAAATACTTAAATTTTTCCTTGTTCCCGTAGTAGACATAATTGCATTACCAGAACTTATTAGGAATTTATCGTATCGTATTCTTCTTTATTATTAGCTATTAGAATGCAAAATACTGGTGAAATTACAGGCACATGGGAGTTGTCAACTTATATCTCAGGGTGTCAGATCTTTGAGTGGCATTACAATTGTTAGGGACAGGCGTGTCGCTTGCCATCAGGTACACGACTTGTTCGTCCCGTCACTTAGTTTATAACAAAAAACCTAATCAAGTAATTTTTGTTACGATTAATCTTGAAGAAAATATTCAGAGTTATGAAATACAATTTGAAGTGTTATCTCCGTGTTACCAATCACGCAGAATTGGCGTAACTTTTCTTTTTGCAAAATAATATGATGAAAATGGTCAAAATTAATCTTTTGTATGAATTCAATTTAGACAATGGAGTTTTTTGATATAACCACGCAAAAAAGTTGGTTGACCCTAATATTTTAGTAATATTTAATTTTAAGCAAATTACAAATTTACTCAAATTTTTAAAACAACACGAAAGGTATAAGTAAGGAATCTATAAGGTATTGGTATTGGTATTGGCGCAACGGGCTAGTTTCCGCAACTCGACGTCGAGGCGCCTATTTTGCGTGTTGAATCTATAAGGTATAAATGCAATCAAAGCTCTTGAAACTCCTCTTATAAATATTTAACAACCTTCAGACCAGACGTTTTTGAAATTATAAATAGTGCTGTTCCAAACCACTTCAAAAGAAAACTTGGTGAAAATGTTCTAAACTTATTATTATTACTATATTTTTTTTGTTTAAAAAGATTTCTCTTTATTTCCTTTATTTGTCTAAAAAAGGAAACACCAATTCAGTACATACAATTTCAGAGGTAGAGACCTACACATTATTGTAAGATCGTTTTTAAGAATGGCCACTCTATTGCCACTTCCATAAGAAACAGATATATTTTAAATTTTTGCGCTGTAAGAAAAACTAGTATATTTTCAGTTAATCGATTTCAACTCTGTAATTTTTAATGATTTTAATTTGACTTTTGATTTTTTTTGATGACTTTATTAATTTATATTTTTATTTAACTGCATCCGTGGCCGAACCGTTACCTTGTCGGACTGTCACGCAGAGGTCCCAGTTCCCGGTTCGATTCCCGGGAAGAAATGTTTGTATGGCCTATATTTATTTTTCTCGTGAGTTTGAGTGTAATTTGTGGTTGTTTATGTGTGTGTCCGCAGCACCCGCGACACAGGATTTCCCTAGTGCGGGGCTATGTTGAGTGTGTGCGTTATTATTATTATTATTATTGTCACGCGGAAGCCGGACGAAGTATGCCTTTAAGAGTCTACACAACCTCACATGGCTTTGGTTGAATCCGCGTAACAGTGAAAATGTTGAATGAATCACTTTGGAAAAAATGTATACTAAAATTGAGGATATATACTGATTACTATACGGTGCGAAAATACGGTTCCTAAAAATTTTCACGATACAAAAAAGATACAAACTAATTAATTAGAAAAAAAGAAGCAAAATAATTCTGAAATAAAGCCAGTATCCTTGCCACACGACCCAAGCAGAATGAACCATATTAATACGGGATAAATTTTAATTCGAGTAGAGGTAGTATCGACTCTTAACGACCTCGACTGAAAGGACAATCATCACCGTTATATTACAAGAAAAATCTAATGTAATTTTTTACATGTACAGGACTGGCAGCGCTACTACGATGACGCAAACAAAGAGCGGCTCCTGAACGTGATATCGCTGGAGTTCTCCCACACTCGTCTCGAGAACTACGTCCAGGCGCCGCGTATCGTGCGCCTGATCGACTGGGTGGACACTGTGTGGCCTAGACACTTGAAGGATCAACAGGTTCGTATTGGTCACATAGGCAGAGGTGTTCTGTGAATTCAGAATCGAGATATATATATATATAATCACTAGGTACAAGTGTTTGGTTCACGGAACTGTGACACGAATAAATTTTATACTAGTTTTGTAATACCCGGTTCTAGTGGAACTGGCTGGAAGCAGGTGGTCTACATCCGAAGCATCATTCGAAAAGAAGGGAAGCTTCATTCGAATCATGCGTTTTTTAATTTGGTCGTTTATTACTTATATTTTATGACAGTAATTGTTTCGGACGGGGAACGAGAGTACAGGGCCAGGAGTGAAACCGGCGTATTGACGCGGTTAAACACGGCGATTTTTAGCTTCGCGCTTCAGTCGCGATGCAGTTGCTAATCATCTACACGTTTCTAATGGTACAACATACGCGACGGCATCAATGCAGTCGCGCATTTGCATCGATGCAACCGCCTATAAACCGCTATTGTCACGCGAAGGCGCGTTTGTATCGCACCAATTTTTCACTAAGCAGCTAGTCGCGGGCTACTGGCCGCGCTCGATTCTTCTTTATTCAAATAAGTCATATGTATATCATACCCATTGACGCGGCCGCGATTCGAAAGTAAAACTATACTGTGTATACTCGAATCGGATAGTGAGGCTCGGAGGTGACAGCAATTTGGCGACACGGGGATGCAATCGAAACTCTAATTAAGGTGTAGTGTCCGAATGGCGGCGTCCGAGACATCAGAGCACACTGACTGACTGAATGTCATTTGTCCGCGCGCGCTCGACGTTCGCTCTCTTCGCTGTAAAATTTTGAAATCAAAGGGCGTGTAGGCAGAGTTACTTAACAAGTTACGCGTTCTAAAAACACGGTGTCCGTAAACATTTTGGTATTTGTTTTAATTTTTGTAAATGTGGTCTTATTGATTGTCGTGATGAGATTAATTTTATTTTTTGTGAAATTGTCATATAGTTTATTAATACAAAGAGCGAACGCAAAGAAGGCGGCCCTGGTTTGGCACAGACACGTGTTCGAGGCCTGTCAGATCGAACTTTTCTTAATTTTTGTTTTTGTGATTTTTTTAATTGTAGATGAAAACCCAGCTGTGCATTAGAGACACCGTGTGACTCAAGGACGCTACAGTACGAACATCGTATCTCTAGGACGCGTTAGGACGTGTGACGAGTAAACCGTACTGATTTAGGACACGGTTTGGTAGCACTAGAGCTCCTTGTGTAAGAGTTCGTCCAAGGTAGTACTGCCACCATACCTTTTCGGCCGCCAAACAGAAATATCAGCTTTACTGTGTTTCGGTTTTGAAGGGTAAGGGTGCTGGTGAAATTACGGGCATGTGGGACTTGTCAACTTATGTCTCAGGGTGACTGGCGCACCGGCAGTGCCCCTCAGATCGTTGTGATCTAAAAGCTCTGAGTGGCACTGCAACTGTTATAGACAGGCGTGTGGCTTACCATCAGGCGCATGATTTGTTCGTCCCGTCATCTGATATTGTATAAAAAAAATACGGTGTAGACAACTATACACTATGCGTTATGTTTAAATACATACTTTGTTTTTGTTATCGTTGACTTTTTGCGACCAGGGAATCTTGGCCTTTCCCATTCATTTAAATTATAACATGCTCTAGAAACGATAGTAACACACATACACACACAATATGTGCATGCGCATGCATGTATATGTCAAGCAATACATGTATTCAGAATACGCATATACGAATTACCTGATTTATATAAGTTACATTTTCATTTTTATTGTTACTGGCCATTTGGTGTACTAAACAAAGCTGAACGTAGGGAAATGCTTACTATAGAAATTCATTATGTCTACGTTAGCGTTAAACTGATCTGTGTGTTTATTGACCTACCAACAAATGGACATCGGGCCTAATGCAAAAACCACGAAAAAAATGTCCGAAGTTAACCTAGTGACAAACGTAGTGACATGTAACGAAATGTAAAAAACTAAAACATTTAGTTTAAATTGTAACGTCATTGCAATACTGTCTAATTATGCTTGCAACAATTTAAGGGCCCAAAAACACCATATTCAGCTTCTACTGGAAACTTAACGAAATGCACCATATTTATTTATTTATTCGACTGAAAATTACTTGAACACAAGAGTAATGGAATAGCCTTTCTTGTAAATATGAATTAATTTTAATATATATTATTATGTCGAATTTTGTACAAATTCACTTAAAGGTATAATGAAGAGTTGAGTAGATACATACACAAATATTACGACGAATGTGAAAATAAGCGTGTACTATAAGAAATGTACCGATATTCCAACTAAACCTAAACTTAAATATGTCTATAATTCCGAAAACCGATTTATAATAAAACCGTTACGCTTTCGAGTAATTTTGATGCTTTTCTCAATAACAAAATTAGCTTTTGTTTTGTAATCTTCGTAAAAAAATACATTTGACATTATGATAATTTGAGCTAATGTTATTTCGGGCAAATATATTTTCCGACTTCTGATAGGTAATCCCAAGCCGTGAAACGAGTACAACAATATTTTGTTAGTTATTGCTAACGTTTAATAAAAAAGTCATTATGAAAATAGGATTAAAATCAAAATGACTCTGTAGTTTGTTTGTTCTAAATATTTCAATCGCTTGTGGTTCGAACAATTGAAAATGACCAAGAAGTTTACATAAGCTTCTTGAAACTGACGTAATGGATCTCTTTCCATCTTTTGCGCATGTGTAGAAAAAGGTCAGTTAGCTATTTGATTATTTTGTGTGCTTTTGTAATTTATATTTACGATTCAGTTATATATAAATTAAATACTATAAAACTATATAAAATAATACTTTTAAATGAGAACTATGATAACACAATATATTTGTTTAATGAAAATATGATACAAAATCCTGTTTTTATACATTACTGCAGCAGTTTTTACAATTTATTATTATTGGTGCTGCATGATTGACAACCGCGCTGTCAGTCGAACAAACGAAGACTGTTGTGCGATTGACGCTCTGTATGCGATTTTAACGCCCTACAGACGGTACAGTACGGACACTTTTTAGCGCGAACCCGATGTCCATTTATCGGTAGGTCAATGTATGAGTTCAGTTTTTTAATGTTTTTTATAATACTAAGAGACGAGACACACAAGTCGTACGCTTGGTGGTAAGCCACGCCTGTCCATAACAGTTGCAGTGCCACTCAGAGCTTTAAATAGTAAAGTTCTTAGGGGCACTGCCACTGCGCCCGTCATCCTGAGACATAAGTTGACAAGTCCCATGTGCCTGTAATTTCACCAGCACCGTTGTTACCCTTCGAAACCGGAACGCAGTAATGCTCACATTAATACAACGGATCAAATACAAATATGAAATGCAAGGTGAAGGGACTTATCTCTAAACGAGATCTTTTCCAGCCACTCTGGGGGCAGCGAGAGCTAATGTTATAAGCGGGCAACAGCGTGCAAGAGATAATGAGGAAGAAATGTGATAAAGTACATAAATACAATAAAAAAATAAAAAATACTGTTACTTACATAAGTATTATAATGAATCATAATATATGGCATTTTATGTAGAGTTCAGATATTTTTCATTACTGGCACTTAATATTGAAGCTGACTTTACATGTGGTTACTTACATTTCTTAAACTAAATTTTCAAACCTATTAATCACAAGGTTTTTCTTATTACGATGTTGTTACTCATACAAACGCAGTGATACCCTAATTAGGAAAAACATTTTTGTTGATTCGTAATGGGTCGTCACCATTAATTTTTTAAACTTTTTAAACTCTTGATTTATTTATGTGCTTTGGTCATTATTGAACATGTCAACTATTAAGGGCTCAATTTATATTGCAGCGGAAGTGAATGGAAGCATTTTTTGTAATATATCATAATTAACTCTATGATCAATTGTGCAACGTACAAACTAGATACGAGCCAAACCGCGATTGTTAAACATAGGAAATTAAACTATTTTTCCGGATTTAAATAGCTTTTTACATAAACCGGATTTAAATATTTGTTTTTTCAAAAAAATCAATCAAGGTTCTGTTCCGCCGTAATATAAATTGAGCCTTAGAGGCAGAACTCACGCGCGCGGTTGCGGGCTAGCTGTTTTATTTCAACACTCACGATACCGCAGGTTTGTGCGGTCGCGCCGCGGTTGCGGAACGGCCCGCAAACTTGGCGGGAGAGGGTTGAAAGGCGCGCGGTTATTTACGATCGATTGAGATCGTCAGTTAAGCCTCAGACGTCGCCATGGACTCACATCAAAAACGAGCTATTGCGTTATATTTCTTACTTCCATCGAAGAATTACAAGAAGAAGGCCTAAAAGAGTCAGGGTGCATCCTCTGATTCCGGAAAGAAATCGTTACATATTATTCGTTGTTCTTATTGTAATGAGTTAAAAAAACAAGAAGACAAATTCTTTAATTTTATTCGGATGTCCGTATCTACTTATTCAGAACTTTTAAGAAAAATGGTAACTGGTAGGAAATTATTGACCGACTTCAACATCCATAACTTGAGAAATTGACACGCGCTGCCAAATCGAAAATCAATCACAAAATGGCGTGGGAAGGAAAGACTCAACCCGTGAAACGCGTCGCCCTCGAACCGACCGCAGAGTGCGCGGGCGACGCCCGCCAAGCGCGCGAGCAACCGTCTCCGATGCGGGCGTGAAACGGGTCGTGAAATGTGCTACTAAATTTTGGATACATTTCTACATTCTTCGGAGGCCGCGGTCCCGCTACCGCGGCGGGCGCGGGTGAAAACCGCTCCATAAGTTCTTAGCTTTAATGATAACCCCATTGGAGAAACAATATACTAATCTATACAGATAAATAAAAAAAACCGTGCTAGTCTAATGGTTTGACCTACTGCCTCTCAAGCAGAGGCCGCCGGCTCAAATCCGGGCTCACACCTCTGTGTTTTTTTGGAATTTATGAGCGAAATTTAAAGCGCATCTGAGCTTTTCGGTGAAGGAAAACATCGTGATGAAACCTGCACGTCGAAGAACCTGAAGTCCCCAGCCCGCATCGGGTCAGCATGGTGGACTACGACCCTCGCCTAAGAGGAGATCCGTGTTCAGTGGTGGGACGTATAAATAGGTTGATGATGAGATAAAACAAAATACTATCTAACCAAACATATATAAAGTTATCAATCGAATGATGTGCAATATAGTTTTCTGTCATTTACTCCAATAGTAAAGGAAAATAATCTCGGTCCAGGTACTAAAAAAACCGACCTCGAAAGTGCGCGAAACCGGATTCATCCCCTAGTTTGCCACCCTTAGAGGGAATCATCAAAATTGGTTCGCATAACATACATACAAAAAAAACATACAGTCGAATTGAGAACCTTCTTTCCTTCCTTTTTTTTGAAGTCGGTTAAATTACATTGTAAAACGTTCACGTCGGAGAACATTGAAGATATCGTCGCTTTACTTTCTCAAACTCGTATCTTAAATCACAAAATTACTGAAATGCAAAAAATTTAATGTATATTGCAGGCTGATTTCACATCACATTTCTGTTACATTCACACACTGGCTTTTATCTATTCTTAAAGTAACGCATCCAAATTAAGACCCTTGGTATGAAATTTAAAATAAATAGAAAGGTTTGCCATCTTCTGATTAATTATTCTTTATAAGATACAAGTTTGAGAAAGGCATATTATGTGAAATCTTGTGAGGGAATATAGGGGTGTCCTTCACACTTATCGACACGAAATCTCATTAAGCCGGTCAGAATAAGCTTTATGTCTTATTAAAAAAGAGCGAAAAAGACGTTTTGTTTTCGCGTTAATATGTCTACAGATTTGTTGACGATACAATACAAAAATACGAAATATACCATATCGATCGTTTGCTTCTTACACATTTACTCGATTTTTTTTTGTCTGATTACACAATACATGTCATGTTAATCAACAGAAAATATGATGTACGTTGATGATGCTTACAATTTTTTTTTAAATAATAGACACACACTTGGCCACAATCTCACCTGATGTTAAATGACGATGTGAATGACGATGGTACGCGTTTGCCTAAAAAAATGCCTATTCACTCTAGCCTTGAATAGCCCCAAATTGTAATTTTCAGGAAACACAAATGCCGTAGAGTATTCCATTCCGAAGGAGAAACGTGTTGTTTGAACACGTGTGTGTGTAGTGTCGATAGTAAATAAATCGAGCAAATCTGTACCTCTAGAGATCCGAGTTAAAGGGAAACGCAACGTCTTTATCGCTCTTGTTGCATGGCGATTAAGCTATTTTTGACCGACTCAAGCGTTATTATTGTGGTCGCTCCTTAAACTCGCAATTTTAAGTAGATCAGAGCCCAGCAGTGGGTTTATGGGTTGATGATGAAAATTTGTAGCAAGTGCATTGTAAGATTAAAGTTATTAGGCGAGGACAGAGTAGCATCAGCTAAAAAAAAATCTAGAATGCTATGACATTATTCGTATTGTACGCGTTTCGAAAACATGAAATAAATCTTTGAGGTCATTCAACTTTACTTCGATGGCTTAGCGACTTGCTATAACGTGAACGGGTACAGGTTCGATTCCTGATCCAAAATACTGTGAAACGATTTTGTCTTAATTGAAGAACTGGGTGTTCTGAGTATTCTGTGTTAAATTCTTTTCTTTGGCAATCATAGTACAGAAAAAAATTACTACCTTAGAGACCAAGGTAATCGATGTGATACGCCAAATTGTACCATCTAACTGCCTCCGTGGTCGAACGGTTACGGAGAAATATTTGTAAGACTTACATTTATTTCTCTTTTGAGTTAGGGTGTAATTTGTGGTTGTCTACCTACGTCTGTGTCCATGGCAATCGCGATACAGGATTTCCCTAGTGCGGGGCTATGAGTGTGAGCATTATTATTATTATTATTATCATTATCATTATCATTATATGTAATCATTGACGTAATGATAAAATTTGACTGTCAGAAACGGGAACGATAAAATTTATTAAATTTGTAATTAAGTTTTTATTAAATGTCAGGATGATTCACCACCATGATATTTAATTTTTTCTTGTGAAATAACTCCACTAGTTTGTTAGTATTAGTTGTTGTAATTAGTATTTATTTGATATTGTATGGTTACAGACTTCTTTACTTTTCTTGATTTTCAACTTTATGTTGCCTATACGATATTGCTTTTTGGCAATACGGGGTGTTATTGTTATTTGTATATTGTTACTTAAGCTATTATTTATGGCCTTCTTAGATTCTACACGTTGTAAATAATTCTTTTTTTTTTGTATTTAAATCGCGTATATTTGGTTTTTCAAACGTGCTCACGTTTTGGGCTCTTTACAGTTCCCATGGTCACGGCTAATTGGTTGGTTTGAATAAACAAATATACACGATTTATATCCGAAAAAAACAAATTCCATTTACACTTAGGTTATTAGACTGTAATTATTAAATAAAGGGGTTTATTTCATAAAATTATATTTTACACAGACGGAGTCCACAAACGCTCTTGACGAGATGATGTATCCGAAAGTGCAGAAATACTGTCTCATGTCCGTCAAGGGCTGCTACACAGACTTCCACATTGACTTTGGTGGTACTTCTGTTTGGTATCACATTTTAAGAGGTGAGTCTACTTTCCAGTATTTGTAAACATTTCCTCAGTTCCCCTTCGCCGTGTAGTTCTTATAACAGATTTTAGGCACTTGCACCGAGCGTGGCTCCCTATTTCCACCCCTCTTACGTAAAGCATCGTATGTCGAAATTGTCAAGTTTACAGGGGAGCCTTTTAAAGTTCTGAATTCACTGAAATAAGCACAACACGTGATTTTAGCATTTCGCATTACTCACATAGAGTATTATAAAATCCTAGATATCGGTTAGACGAATTATGATGATCTATTAGATGATCGCTCTATGTGAGTAACGAGCTTTGCCGAATAAAACGGAGAACTTTAAAACTCTCCCCTGTAAACTTAGCAATTTCGACATACGATTCTTTACGTAGGAGGGGTCGATTTCAATTGCTTAGTCGATTTTACAGTTACAATAAATGGTAAAAGTTTTTTTGCGCATTTGACCTCCATTTGTTACCTGTTACCGAATCCACTGAAAATCAGCGTCGTAGCTAATAACATTATATATAACATTATTAGCGCATAATAAAACATAGTTGTCTTGAAAACCAGTTATGAATTTCGTGCTGTCAGTAATTGACTTTGAAATAATCATTTCAGGTGCAAAAGTATTCTGGTTAATTCCTCCAACTGAGAAGAACCTGCAGTTGTACGAGAAGTGGGTGCTTTCCGGCAAGCAGTCTGATGTGTTCTTCGGCGACACTGTTGAGAAATGCATTCGAGTGCATGTAAGTTCCTTTCTAATTGTTATTAGCACCGAATTAAAGTATAAAATTTTAGAATACGATAATTTGCTCAACAAGACGCCCTTTACTCGCACCATACATGCTCTAAATCGAGTAGTAAACATTTTTATTTTACTTGTTTTGACAGCGAATTCGTAAAGGTAACACTTTCTGTAGTACGTACCTACTGAGTTATTATTATTCTTTGTTATTGTTATTGAGTGGGAAAATTATTATTAATTATGATTTATTTTATTAAATAGAAATGCTATACTATTGTCATTGGAACGATCTTTTAAAAATATAGGGATTTCCATTATAGGCGGGTAGATTTTAACAGTTCATAGCGGCCATGTTGTTGAGGCTGCTTTTGTCAAATCTCTTGTTTATTTTGCAATCACTAAAGACAAATCATCATGGCAAGTTTCAGCGTTGAGCCTCACGTGCAAATGATAAAAATTTATTATCAAAATGGGAGTTCTATTGTGGCAACGATGCAGTATTTTCACAAAAAATATATGAATATCATTGTAGTAAAAACATCATGATATTCAATAAAAATAAAAATATTGCAATTGAGGCCTGTGCTTTTTTCCTACTTGTATAATGTAAATTTTCAATAATTGATAGTGTGATATAGGTTATAAAGTTATTAAATTAAAAAGCGACTCCTGAACATATGTACTCCTGCGTTAAGCTTTCGATTTAATGAATTTGTAATTATTCCAGCTTCAAGCCAGCCATACCTTCTTCATACCAACGGGATGGATTCACGCTGTGTACACTCCGAGCGACTCTCTCGTTTTTGGAGGCAACTTCTTACACCAATTTGGCATTGAGAAACAACTGAAAATAGCACAAGTTGAAGATGTTACCAAGGTATGTCGTGTCTACGATTAACAAGATTTTTATAAATTATTCAATGCGGCTTTAGGACATTGCGTTACGAAAGGGGTAAGTAGGCAGTTATGAACAGGAAAATCCTTTAGTGACCCGAACATTTGTAATTGCTGTTTCACCCAAGTGGCATACATGTTTTTCATGACACTTGAGAGGAATTTGTAAAAAAAAAGGTAAATTACATTTAAATTCGTAAGTTTGCGTACAGATCTGGCGAATGCGCCTTTTTGCGAAAGGTTCGCGAGTTGCGCACGTTTATTACGTACTGCGATCTGTTCGTCTGCCTTTTGTGCGCCGTCCGCGCGCCACATATGTCGACTCATCCGAAGAATAGAGTCCGATGTGATTATACAGCGGAAAGAGGACATAACAAAAAAATTATATAAGGAATAATACTCTTTTAAACAAAAGTTTTTGCTTTGATTTTACGTATGAATAATACTTGAAATCTTTTAAATTTGTGTATGCTATATACTGTAGTCTATCAGTATGTATTTTATAATGATGAATGAAATACAGCTGACAGTATTTATATTAGCTTTAATAAACAAAATGAAACAGCCTACTGACATTATTGGGGTCGCGTCTCTGTGAATTTGGCGGAAGGTTTACGTCGAGGTTATCGCGTTTCTAGCGGGTGGCGGGATAGTAGAAATAAAACAAGAAACCCATTACCGCTCTAGGACTATATGTTTGCCTAGTTTTCACATTTTTTGCACGTTACAACACTATTTCCAACCAAGTATGGTGAAAAATATATTACTGACTATGAAGGCGATGCCAGTAAACTCATGATTCTTCTGTAACGTTTTTCTTAGACGGCACTATTTACAAATAATGATACTCACAGGACACAATGGAACTATTTTTGGCTGTGTGATACTTAGGGTCGTATTCTAGAACTCTACTCAATGCTCGAGTCAGGATTTGAGTATGGTTTAAAGCACTCGAAATCATACTTAAGTCCCTGCCATTAGGGTCGTATTTCCAGTGCTTGTGTTTCCGGTGCAATCCTGACTTGAACATTGAGTATTGTTCTAGAATACGACCCTTAGGCTATAAAGAACAAAACATTTTTATTACACAGAAAATAAAGTAGTAATTCCAAAATTTTCCAGGTGCCTCAGAAGTTCCGGTACCCGTTCTTTACGGAGATGCTGTGGTACGTACTCGACCGGTACGTCTCAGCGCTGCTGGGCCGCAGCCATCTCGCACCCGAGGGTCAGACCACGCCGCCTATACCGCCTAAGGATCATATACATCTCACCCAGATCGAGCTGCATGGACTTAAGGTACTATCAACTTAATTTGATTAAGGCTCAACTTACATTGCCGTGGGACGGAATGGAAGCGATGTTTTGTAACCATAATACAAAAAGGGTCGAGCACAGAGATGGGCACTGGGTTAAAACCCAATCAATCCGCCCGGCCTTTAACTCATTTCTGTCCAAAACCCTGCTCGCAAAAATACGGAATTCGGTATAATTCCATACTTATTAGAAACTTCGATGTAAAAAAGTTTTTTTTATACAAAAAAGAGGCAACTTCAACCACCCACTTTGCAACCCTGTGGATTCTCACTATTAACGATACACGCGTTTTAAGACACTGATAGGATTATATTGCGAATAATGTGATTATTTCTATTTATACATTAATTATCCATGTAGAAACGTGAATATGGATATTTTGGTTTCTTTAAAATTTTCAAATCCTGTTTTCTCAATTTAAGTTTTGAGTTACTACAGTATTTGGTTTCGTGTGTGATATGCATTTCATGCATGTATGCATTTTATGGGCTTGCCTCCGTGTCTTGCCTTGTTTTATAACCTCATTTACGTGTGTAAATGAGGTGCCTGCACGTGCTTACACTCATAAAAACCCCGCACTAGGGAAACCCTGTGTCGCGGGTGCCTTGGACACTAACAGACAAACACAAATTACATCCAAACTCTCTAGAGAAATAAATGTAGGCTATACAAATATTTTTTCCGACCCGGAAATCTAACCTGGGACCTTGGCGGGACAGTCCGGCAAAGTATAAATTGTTTAAAAAACACTACTTGCTCATTGACAAATAGCACTTTTACCTAAATAGACTCCTTAAGATGCAAACAATTACATCTCAACTTACATTTCTAGGCCATCGTGATGTACTTACACCAGCTGCCAGCCGCGCGTAAGTCAGTCCCAGAGCTGTTGACTGACCCGATCGCGTTGGTACGTGATGTTCGCACTGTGGTGGAGCAGCACCGCCATGATAAGCAACACCAGGCTATCACGGGTGTGCCTGTGCTTAAAGGTTTGTACTTCCTATTCATTTTTTCCGTTACCTTTGAGTACATGATCGTAGACATTATCAACTAACCAACGCTAATATGGGCAAATCGATCGATGCTATTTAATTTTAGACTTGAGTATGACCCATATTCCGTTTCGTAATTATATTTTAAAGTTAGACTCTATTGACAGACGAATTAGGTTAATTTTCTTTTAATAAAATGAAAAACATTTATTATCGGCACACAGTATGAAGTATAATTTTTTTTTAATAGTACAAATGCGTGTGCCAATTAAAATATAACTGACTCTGCTTAAATACTCTATAGTCGCTTCGTTACGTGCTTAATTTTTATCAATTATTGCGTGATAACCGTGTTGAATATATTTATTTATAGTGTCCTAAAATGTTTTTTTATCATAACTTTTGAATATTCGAACATAACAATAAACTAGAAACATAACGTTATAGTGTAAGTCGGAACGGCTTAACGATTTCTGCACTAATTGGATACGGGAATGGCTCAACCGGAAAGGATAATACATAAATAAATAATAATAAAAAAAACTCTATTGCATCCAATAAACAAAACCAGACAATAACTATAAAAACCTTAAAAACAACCACACTAAGATACTAACTAAACGTTCAGAAGTCAGAAGGAGGTGTCTCAGCTGGTGCTGCTCTTGTTTACGACAGTCAGCTTTGGTTTTCAGTCACCCCCCTTCTCCCTTAGATGGATCGCGAGACGGGAGTATCGTAATACCAAAAATATAATTTAATAATGATAGTTGAATTTACATAATATGAATTGTAAATAAAAACAAAGTAGGCAGGAAGAAAAACCAAATTTTGCATATGATATATTATTGCGTTTAGCCGCCTTTTCAATTGCAAATTTGAGAGTATGAAGGTGCAAGAGAAAGTGCACGTCGCAAAGATAAATTGATTCTCCAAAAACTGATTCATAATCTATAAAAAAGGTCCATATTAATTATAAATCTATTAAAATTTACATCAAAATGCCTAACAATATAAAAATGTACCAAAAAACAATTCATTCACTTCCAAACTAAACACATTTCTTGTAAAAAAACATATTTATTCAGTGTCAGAATTCGTGCAGGATAGTGATCTCTAACAATATGATCTCGATGTATAAATAGCCTATATTTATATTTACAATACCTTTTTTTTTCCAAACATACATTTCGATGGCGGAACTTAATACTACATATTCTAATACAAACTAGTTTTAGGTACAATTTGCTATACCCTACCCAGGGTCCATGTGATACTGTTAATTACTTGTAACAACTGCTAATCATTTATTGCAACAAATGATTATTCTATTCAATTCGAAACCGTCGCTTCAATCCACTTTGCAGGGCCGGACGACGTGATGGCGGCAGAACGACGCCACTCGAGCGGACGTGGTGGTCGTGGAGGTGCACAACGTGGCGGGCCTCCCAGACCGAGACCGGAGCACGCTAATAACGCACCTCGGCGACGACGCACTAGGTACGAAGATGCCTTGTCAAACAAACATTAGTTTTCACATAACACTTTCACTGTCTTTTTTGAAGACAGAATAAAATGACATTTGAAGGGTAGCCAGTTTTCATAAAATTTTTAATAGTCATGCAGTTGTTGTCAACAGTTTCATCGATAGATATGGGATATCTAAGAAACTCAGAACATACTTAAACTAAAGATTAATTCATGTAAACTCTGAAAATATGTTTTTTACAATTGCCTCTGTTGGCAGGCGTATGCATAGGAAGAAGCTGGTGTCAAATTTCTTACATTTCGTCGTTATACTCTGACAACCAATTATCCGGAATTTTTACAGAAAATGACGTAATTGCTTATGAAAAATGGAAATATTTATATACTTTCGGTAAAACATAAAATGTGGAGTCATCTGTTACAAGTTAAAAGTGGATGACCATGCCAAATTTCAATTGCATTTGTGTCAAAGTATTTTTTTTTATAAAATAATTGTTTTCGTAAAATAACGACGATTTATTCTTTAGTAGCTGTCTACGGGGTGATTATACCTTCCGTTGTGTAACCGAGAACTGCTTGTCTAATATTATTTTGAGTGCAACCACGCCAACAAACTGCTTTCGCAGTTTGGCGAGAAATTTTATTGTTTTCTTTATGCAATATTTCAAGGTGCAAGAAATGCGAAGCGTGCCAGCGCACAGACTGCGGCGACTGCGTGTTCTGCCAAGACATGGTCAAGTTTGGCGGACTGGGGCGCGCCAAGCAGACCTGTGTTATGCGACAGTGCCTGCAGGTTGGTTACCGCCTTTATTTTTTTTATGTAATAGATGAAAATAAAGTCACTTGAGACTTTCGCTATATTGAAGTTACAAGTTATTGAAAATTACAATTTAGGTAGTTACACCCTACAACTGAACCCCTTATCTCTAGACATCTGATTATAGAAATAATTTATTTTCTAGCCCATGCTACCTGTTACCGCGTCTTGTGCTGTATGCCACCTGGATGGTTGGTTGCAAACTCCTGTCGCGCCACAAGCCAAAGGAAATTCTGGTAAGTTTTTAAAGAGCATACGCAAAATTACCTTTAGCATATATCTGTGTCATCGTCGGCTTAATGTATATAAGATTAATAAGTTAAATTAGCCATGATCTATGGGTTGCGAAAGGCGAAGCTTTTATGTTAGCTCGTGGGATGTCTATGGATAGTCCATTCAAGAAATATTCGAGTACTGGGCAACAGCCCCTGTAATTTGACTGATATCAGTCAGCATTGCCATTTAACTTTCATTCATACCTACTTACGTAGTTTTAAGTCTAAGAGTCGTATTCTAGAATTCTACTTAATGCTCAAGTCAGAGTATTGCAGTGAGCACTGAAAATCATACTCAAGTCCTTGCCATTAGGGTCGTATTTCCAGTGTTTGAAATCGTACTCAAGCTCAAATCCTGACTTGAGCATTGAGTAGAGTTCTGGAATACGACCCTTAGAGTGGTTCTACGCGGCGACTTTTAGCAGCGATGCAAACGCATCGATACAATCGCCTATATATCCCAAGTGTAGCGATGTAATCGCGCGTTTGTATTAATGCAGTCGCGCGATTGCATCGCTGCTTAAAATCGCGCGTGTGTGTAAAGGTAGACGATTAGCAACTGCATCGATGCTAAAAGTCTCCGTGTATAACCGATCTAAGTAGCACTGTAACTGTTACGGGTAGACGTGTCGCTTACCTCCAGGCGCACGACATGTTCGTCCCGTCACTTGATATCATAAAAAAAAATTAATTAGTGACAGATGCGAATTAAACGGCAACACTGGGATTGTTAACCCTTGGAATGACTGCGCTAATGAGGGATGTTTTTGGATTGTGCAGCGCAAAAGTGCAAACATGCATTTTCGCATGAAACTGCGTCAGAAAAATGCATAAAGTTTTGATTAGGTTTAAATTTTACGATACAAACCATATATCACTGTTTTCCTCGTGAGTAGTCCTATCAGAATATCATATTCTAATTAATAATAAAAACTTACCTGATGCAGTTCTGATGCGATGAATTTATTTTGTAAGTTTTCTTGCGCCTTCATTAAAGTTGTCAACATAATTGCAAAAAATTACAACTCATTGCCACTCACAAATCACAATAAGTTTTTAGTCCTCACATTCAAGTGTCTGGGACATAAATTAGATACTTGAAATTGACCGATTGAACATAAAAATGTTTGTTTATGTTATGGCTCCGATAAGGGCGCGTTCCCACTATGTCGTGACGACAGATTGTCGTGCAGTTTACAGTGTCGTGGCTTGTATATTTAAATGAAGTTGTTCACATATAGCACGACACTGTTAAGGGCGCGTTCCCATTATGTCGTGACGACAGATTGTCGTGCAGTTTACAGTGTCGTGACTTGTATATTTAAATGAAGTTGTTCACATATAGCACGACACGATTAACTGTCGTTAACGATATTTTTTCCCAGTTCCCACTGTCGTCACAGTGGGAACAGCTAGAACTACAGTCGTCAGACGATAAAAAAACGTCACGACAAAAACGTGATGACAGATTGTCGCAACTCCTATTGTCGTCACGTTTTATTTATCGCTGTCCGCACGTAATCTGCTCCCTGCCCTCCCCTCTCGTACCCCGCGCCCTCTGCTCCCTTTGCAGTAGCGTTGGGTCGTAGCCAGAGATGGCAAGGAGGCTGTCGTGAAACGATAACTTGTCGTCACGATCTAGTAGAAACAGCTAGTCACGACAGTCGTTCAACGATATAAAATCGTCCATGACAGATAGTCGTGATATGGGAACAGGCTAGACACGACAGTCGTCCAACGAGAATAAAACGTGACGACATAGTGGGAACGCGCCCTAACGAGACGCCATTAAACGACCGCCCGCAGCGAGACACTTGAAAGTTTAAAGTCGGCTTTTTTGCTTCTAACAACGTGTTACAGTGCATTCTAACAGTAGCCGGTGTCTTTTTATTGTCAAAGTTAGTCACTGGATGAGTAATTGATAAACAAAAACACTCTTTTGACCAAATATAGGACAAATATAAAATACCACGCAAAATGTCACGGCCACGATGACATCGTTTTTGCTATTTAAAAGTTCGTAATGTTTTTCACTAAGTTTAACAACACTTTTTCAAAAACCATTACTTTACACGTTATCTACATGATTTTCATGTCATTCATTCATTGTCATTCACCCGAATGTGACGTGACAGTTGGTTGGGTTATCAGTGTAATGCTCTATCATTATACTTGATGTGCTCTATACAGGTCGTAACGGGCCGTCGTCATTGCGCGAGTGTTCGGTGTGCTACAGCATCGTGCACCCGCAGTGCGTACCGCCAGGAGGACAGGTCAACGAGGACCTGCCCAACTCCTGGGAGTGTCCCACTTGCACCACCATGGGGCTCAACCACGACTACAAGGTAAATCATAACAGAGAAACTAAAGTTGAAATTAAAAGATCCACAGATTGGCAACAAAGGTATGAGAGCACGGCGATTCGAACTGACATCTAAAATACGGTTTTCTTGGTATTTTTTGTTGCTCTGGCTCTCCGAGATAATGCATGAGTGTTCGTATCGTTTTCGTTTCATTAACTCCAACATTTAATGAAGAATGTACTCGGTCAGTCGATGAAGTTCATTTATATCAAGAATGTTTGTAGCCTCGCCATTTCCGCGCGCGTCAGAAGTCGTCAGACCTTCGCCGCATCAGCGTCGGCTCCGACGCCAGTCAGCTCAGCCAAAATCACAATTTACAGGTATTATTTTCAAATTCGTTCAATAGCCTCATGCTATATTGAATAATTATACATATTATTACACCAACATATGTGCTTGCGCCGAAAACTAATTTCGTGCTAACTCATTTGGTTTTGCGATTCAATTTATTTTTATATACCAGCTTCAGCTACAACTAGTGTGGAATAACCAAAAGCCTAAACTGTCATCCGACTGTTGTATTCGTTCCACAAGTTAACAAGTATGTCAGTGTGTCGGTCGTCGTTAGTGACACGTAAATTATTTGCACAGGAAATATTTTTTAGTGATCACTAAATAGTTCAAAGTTTGAAGCTACGCTGAGTTTGAGAGGCAGTACAGCTCCTTGTGTAAGAGTTCGTCCAGGGGTTCTATTACTGCCGCCTAGCAGTAATGTGAATATTACGGCGTTCCGATTTTGAAGGGTAACGATGCTGGTGAAATTACAAACACATGGGACTTTTCAACTTATATCTCAAGGTGACGGGTGCAGCGGTAGTGCTCCTCAGATGTTTGCGATTTAAAGCTCTGAGTGGCACCGCAACTGTCATGGATTGGAGTATTGCTTACCTCCAGGATCACGACCTTCGTCCCGTAGGAGCACTATATTTGACTTCGTAGTACCGAGTTCCTTCCACAACTTACCAATGAGCTATATTAAATGAAATGATCTATTTTGGACCAAACAAATCCGTACACAATTGCATAATTAAAAAAAATAATCAACACCATCGGAAATTAACACTTACAATTTAAAAACTAATAATAGATAACATAAACATTGTAACCAAAAGGAAAACAAAACAAATCACTAACAAAAATATCACAATGTTAAAAAATTCCTACTAGATCCGACATTTCGACAGACGTTTAGCCAGCGATGGCTAAAACATTATGCAATAATGATCAAATTCAACTGAGACAAGACGTTTCTCAATCATTATGCTTTTAAAATTTTCTGTTCATTTGAACTGTATGTAGTGATGGGCTTGTTACATTATATGCATTATCTTACATTACAGAACAGACTTCCGCCGCCGGTACCGACGACAACGGTCAAGTCTGAACCAGGCTCAGACAATGAGAGCAAAAATGATCTACTCCTCAAAAAAGATAATGGTAAGAATAGATGAAGTTTACTTAGAATTTCTAGTCAACGTTGCTCCCTTATATTAAATGTTTCTTTAGTAAAAAATGTTTTTCAGAGCGAAAATATAATAAATAGGTCCTTTAACTTTAAATTAATTTAATACCTAGTAACAGTAGAGCTTTTTGTGAAAGAGTTCGTCCAGGCTAGTACTGCCACCTTGCCTATTTCTGCCGCCAAGCAGTAATGTCAGCGTTACTGTGTTCCGGTTTTGAAGGGTAAGGGTTCTGGTCAAATTAGGGGCACATGGGACTTGTCAACTTATGTCTCAGAGTGACGGGCGCAGTGGCAGTGCCCCTCAGATCTTCGCGATTTAAAGCTCATGAGGTCACTGCAACTGTTATGGACAGGCGTGTAGCTTACCATCAGGCCCACGACTTGTTCATCACGTCACTCGATATTATAAAACAAAGATTTCTTTCAAACTACCATAAAATTAGGTCGGGGAGAAAACCACAAATATATATCATACATCGACTGTGAACTGGCAACCGGTACTATCTCAATTTTGACAACTTTACAGGATGAATTTTGTCAAATCTGTTAAAAATACACTACAGTCAAAGTACATTGCAGTCAATATAAAAAAAAACTGGGTAGCTAGAGATTTTCATGGGGTATATGACATTCCCCAAGGAGTACACTTTATATGCCCCAAAACTATTATATCTATTATGGTACAGGTTTAGATAACAGTTCTCTATAGATGGTTTTAGAAAAAAGAAATTGGTCTTATATATTTATTTCACTCAAGTCAAAATTTTAAAATCTTTTTAATACCAAACAACGTTACACCAAGTACCAAGCACCAAACAACATAATTAAGTTGATCTCTCTTAAGATTTACTCTTATAGTCCTTATTTTAACTTCATTTGTAGATCAATTGATTATATGTAGTAAAATTGTTCTATACATATCCACTAAAGTCTATTAATACCCTAAAAACTAGTGATCTTAAGTTTATTCTAGATATATTTCATTTAAAGACATTCTGTAGTATATGCTTATTGACAAACACTTTATAGCGCGACTTCAGTATATTTTATTTAAAAAAATACTATAATTAGGGTTTTCCACTTCTACTTTAAATTATCTAAAAAACCTTCTTCAAGATATCTTGAGGGAATTTGAACTTTTAAAATGTACTATCGAATTAAATTCTATTAGATATCTTATAGTATCTATTTAGATATAGAAGTGCTGCTTGGGTCATTTAAGTCATTACAAATCCCTCAATAAAATTTTGACGTGGTCAGCGCCAGAAGTTGACTGTTCTAAATTGTAATGTGCAGATGTGAAAGAGGAGGTTGGTGAAGCTGGTGTGGCTGAGCGAGGTGAAGGCGAGTGGGAACCCGCCGTGAAGAAGCGCCGCGCCTCAGACGAGGATGAGGCGCCTAAAAAACAGGCGCTCAGGGCACACTTGGCCTTGCAGCTTACACACCACTCCGCCAAAGTATGTATCCAACTGTTAGCTGTAGCGTGTTTCGGCAACCAATAGCATCTCGTTATTTTGATTAAAGGTGCGTACAGATTTGCTCGATTGACTATCGTTATCGCATTTTTTGTCGATCTGCACTGTGGTATTTAATTAGGTGCCTGCAAATTTGTTCGATTTTAACCTTGATGTCAATCAATCGCTAAGAGGCGACAATCGATGAAATGGAGCAAATCTGTTAGTTGGCATATCTTATTGATCGTCAAAAAAACAACATATCGAGCGACAAGGAAAACAACGATAATCAAAAATCGAGATTTCAATAACTAAATACTATTATTTGCTGAAACAGCTTTCCTGCTCCATTTGGTAATTGATAGGCCTGTATTGGAGACTTCTTCATTAATATCTATCACTACAGAGTGACTGATACTTTTGAAGGGTTATGTTCGTGTACGTTAACTTCAGTCTATAATATTTGTTTTATTATAATAATGTGCCATACAACTACACCAATTGCCTGGTTTCAAACTATAATATTATTGTATATAAAATTCACTCTGGGGCTTTACCCAGAACATCCAGTACAGAACCAGTTTAGAAATATTCATTTCCCAATTTCTACCGGGAATCGAATCCGGGACCTCCTCATCCAGCGCTAACAGAATAGACCATTAGGCCACTGAGGTCGTCCTATCATTATTTTATCTTTATGATTTTCCTTGTTCAGAAACACCTTTAAAGTTAATTAAAGAAGGATGAACAAAAGAGAAAACTAATGGAAACGCTGTGGACAATAATAGAGAAAAACACCCACGCATCATTTATTATGATGTTATAAACAGTCCGATCATATTTTGAAAGGTTTTGTATTTAGATTGCACTCTGTTTTATTTTTAATGAAAGTGTGTGGAAGAAGTGAAGTGGGAGACCTTACACCGTATCCAGTATAAATACCAAAATTATGTTTAAAATGGGCGAGATTTTAATATGCAATAGTATTTTAAAATTATAAATATAATTTTCCAGCAACTGAAGAAACCGCTATACCCAATCCGGCCAGCCTTACCACCAACAGGGGCCGGCATCAACACACAGGGCTCCCCGTGGTTGGATCGCGACGCCATGTTGTGCGTCTTTGCCAAACTCACGCCACATGAATTGGCCGTTTGTGCACTCGTTTGCAAGGCTTGGGCTGAGTATTCCGTGAGTATGGGTGTCATTATGTTCTTTACGATATTTTTTCCAGTATAGTGTATAAGAATAGAAAGTTGTGGCCATAGATTGGCATTACAAACGTAGGTTCGAGTCCATCTGACAGGACCGAAGGAATATTTCTTTGTGTTCGATCTTTGTATTAATAATAATTATAACAAACTAGTGGCGTAATTTCACAAAAAAAAAATAATAATATCATGGTAGTAAAACATCGTGGTATTCAATAAAATTAATAATAGAAAGTGTAGTCAGATGGAGTTAACAATTAAACTATTTTTTTAAAATTACAGATTATTTATTATTTCTATCATGTTTCGTTAAATAGGCATAGCTTATTTAACACCTATTTACCTTCTCTCAGGCTCCATCTGAAAATCGGCTGTGGCTTGCTCACCATAAGCTGAGGTGGCTACCTTTTCCGCGATTGTTGTTTTTTGTATTTATTTATTTTTAATTTAATTGAAATTCTTTGTACCTATATTTTATTTGTAATAGCCGAATAAATGTTATTCTTTCTATTAATAACCGCTATATACAACTGTAGCGGTTACTACACTAGACTGCCACGCAGATGTCTCGGGTTCGATTCGCGGGCCGAGAGATATATTTGTAAGGTCTACATCTATTTATCTCATGAGTTTGGGTCTAATTTGTGGTTGTCTATGTGTATATCGATAGCACCCGCGATCCTGCGTTTCCCTAGTACAGGGATATGAGTTTGTGTGTTATTATTGCAAATTCGGTCGTAAATCATCGGAGCGGGACAGCGATATTACGCTCTCCCAGTTGCTTAGCGTCGAGCGTACGTGTCGCGTGTGCAAGCCTTTTATCGCTAAAAACAAACGAATCTCTAAGGGCACGTGGTAGGTGCGGTGCTATATGAGGAATTTATTATCTGATATTATTTTAAATATCGCAATATTATGTCAGTAATTTGTTCAAATTTTTGGCGGATATAAAGATCCCAAAAAATTAGGAAGCTTTTTTATAATGAAATAAGTGCGCATTTCACCTGCATCTCACCTGATGGAAAGTGACCATGAGGTAGACGACAAAGTATGCACATCTAAATAATGCCTTTTCACTCACGCAATGTAAAGGTCCAAGTTATAGCGTTCAGGAAATAAGTCTGGAGGCAGGGAATTTTATTCTTCAGCCGTTCGCCATATAAATGTGGAAGCGAAACGATACGTGTGAATCCTTGGCATATTCACAACATAGGGGTGGAACCCCAGCCTACGTCTTTTTACGATTTTATTATTATTATTCATTATATTTTAAATTTGAATATGTTAAATTACTTACAGCAAAAACGTGTTGATAAGATGAAATTTTAAGACGATGTAACATTTCATCTACCAATTCGAGTTGGAACTTTCGGTAGACGAGTTCATGCAGTTCGTTTTTATGCACAGTTTAATGTAAAGAACTTGTTTCTCTAATTCAGATGGACCCATCTTTGTGGCGCAGTATGTCTTTCGTGCAAGTGCGCGTCTCCGCTGCGCAGCTGGCGGGTATTGCTCGTCGTCAGCCGCTGTCGCTCGGCCTTGAGTGGTGTCACCTCGCACGCCGCCAACTAGCTTGGTTAGTTACCATTACCCTTATATCAAACAGATTAAGGATGAAGATTGCCTGAAAGAGCGGTAAACTGCGGCAAGAACGAAGTTTTTAATGTTTAAACTATTAATGTTGCATTTTCATCGAAGTGTTCGTAAAGCTATGCGTTCATACATAGTGTAGTTCATCTAAACTATTACAAGAAATAAAGTTAAAGATTAATATAGACAACTAAAGTAAATTATACATCGTTATAAGTTGCCTAACACGATAATAATTCTGTCGCTGAATATTTTGCTTAAAATAACTTGTGCGGACGACGCGAAGAACAGAGCGAAGTAACATTAGACATATAAATCGAGTTCTTAGGTTTTTGCGATTGTTTTCAGATTATTATTTTGTTCAGATCTAAATCTGTAGACATACATAGAACAATCAACATATCATCATAACAAAGAAATTTATGTTATGTGTTATCTAAGGAGATTTTAATTTTTATTATTGTTATAGTATGATTCATGCCCCTGATTAAAGTAATAGGCATCCTTACTTTCTTCGGTATATAACTAATTGTTATGTTTTTTGTAATAAATCATAGATAAATGCAAGTGAAATATAGCCCACAAAGACTACCCAATTGAACAATATTTAAATTTTGTCAACAGGCTCCTAGCACGCCTACCAGCACTCCACTCTCTCTCCCTAGCCGGCTCCCCAGCCGAGGCAGCTCTCGCTCTTCGTTCGTCCACATGTCCGCCTCTCACCTCTCTGGACCTCTCGTTTGCACGTTGCCTTGACGACGCGAAACTGCGAGGCGTCTTGGCCCCGCCTGAAAACTCCCGGCCTGGCGGCGGAGCGAGGACTGGCGCCGAACCGTCGCGACTTGCTGCCTTAAGTGTGTTGAGGCTACCCGGCACCGACATAACTGACGTCGCAATGAGATATGTTGTTCAAGTGAGTTTTACCAATGTTGTCATTCGATTATTATTACCAGTGAAAAGTTTAATAAAATGACAATAAAATTAGCATTTTCTGTATAAAACGCAGTAATAATGTGAAAATAAGATCAATTTTGGATTTGGGTACTATTTTTGCGAAGCATTGTATAAGGAATGGTATCATGGTATCAACTGCCTCCGTGGCCGAACGGTTACCATACCGAACTGCCACGCAGAGGTCCCCGGGTTCGATTCCCGGGCCGGGAGAAATATTTGTATGGCCTACATTTATTTCTCTCGTGAGTTTGTGTGTAATTTGTGGTTGTCGAGGTGTGTGTCCATGGCACCCGCGACACAGGGTTTCCCTAGTGCGGGGCTATGTTGAGTGTGTGCGTGTGCGTTTGTTAACGTGGTATTGTGTTGTACGTATGGGCATTGAATTTTAACTTTCTAGTAAAAATATTGTCATTAACATGTGGTAAAAATTAACAATCCGAAACATTTAGTTTGTTGATATTTTATATAAAAAGTGCGTATTTGACTTCTTTTTCACCTGATGGGAAGTGACGCTGAGATCGACTAACGAGCGTACACACCAAAATAATGCCTATTCACTCTTGCCTTGAAAAGCGTAGTGCAACCTGTTTTGTAGTATATATTTACGTACGTTGTAATCATTACACATTTTAAACCCTCAGATGTTAATCAGCCAATATTATTCCCAGGCACTACCAAAGCTCGTGGAGTTGGACGCATCATCCTGCGCTCGTCTGACAGACGCGGGCGCAGCGCAACTGGCGCACCACGGACTGCAACGGCTGTCGCTGGCCGGATGCCGGCTGCTCACTGAAGGTGCCCTCGATCATCTCGCCAGATGCCCTAACCTAGTCAGGTACGTCAAAATCCCTTGATAGCGCCACCGCCAGTCGTGAGTCGAAAGCAAAGATCACCTTCACTAAAAGTTTAAACACTGAGTCGAATTATATGACTTTTTAATTAACATTTCAAACAATGCCCATTTTGGACTCGTAAATTTTGTTAGCCGCGACCGGTTGAAAATTTATATTCATATAAATATACATTATAAAACAATAAAGTTTCATTCATAAAACTGAAAAAGTTGGAGAAAAAGATTTGACGTTTTAAATAGCATTGCATAAAAAGCATTTGAATGTAACTCGATTTACATTTTTACATTTTTTTAAGCCTCGTTTACACTTCCATTATTTGTTCAAAGTTGAGGTAATTATGAATGAAAATACAGTAATTGTGACATTGATAAGCAATGAACTTCTTTAACTTTAACTTTCTCTCTCTTGATTCGTTATCAACTTCATGCTGTAGCGGTCTCTGATAACGACTTCAGGAATGAACTGTATGCAGTTAAAACCGACTTTATGCAGCAGAGATCAACTGCATACAGTTAATCTTGCAATCAGCCTATCGCGTAGGTTTTAGGTTAGGTTTCGCAAATACATAGATTTCGTCGATCTCCACTGGCAGTCTCCAACTTTTTTTTCATAAACAGACTTTTTGAAACATTTTCCTAGTGCCTAGAAAAATTTGGATTGGCGACTAAAAAGTCGTTTAGTCCCGGTAATGCGAATGTTTTTAAGTATGTTCTGTCTGTATAATTTGGCTGGGCAATAAAAGTGAAAATGCGAATGAAATTACCATACTTGTGGCAAAAAACGTTCGTATTTCATAAATTCAAGGTTATAATGAGATCATCCTATTTCAGGCTGGACCTACGACATGTCCCTCTGGTCTCCACACAGGCGGTGATCAAATTTGCAGCAAAGTCCAAACACAACCTCCACGTCAAGGACGTTAAACTGGTCGAGCTGCGGAAGACCTGATCCGAGGAAACTCCGCGCAAGGAACCCGAAGCTATACAGTAACTTTGAGTGATATTACAGTGATTCCTAACTAATAGTGAGTGTATCCCTTTCAGTGTGAAAGATTAGCTTGAATGATTTTTCATGAAGCGCGAAAAGGACGCCTGTAGGTTTCATATTTCGTGAAGGGTGGTTGAATTAAGTATTACGCGTGACAGTGTTGATGGCATAGGGAAATTATTTTTGTATTGAAAACTGAAGCACCAAAAAAGCTAGCTTAGCTGACTCTAGTCTAAATGTTAGATAGTGAAATGTTTTTCTAATTCTTTAAACTGTATTGTTAAAATTAAAAGATGGTAATTAATTGGGGTTTGACGGAATTTGAAATAACTAATTTCTTTTATAATAAGGACACGGAAGTTAAAAGCTGCGTTATTAACTCTATTTTGATTGAGTATTTTTTTAAATAGCCTTTTGTTTATACTTGCAATTAATTAAATTTCGATATGCACATAAATAATATGGACACAGCATCATATGATAATGTTGACTACAACATATCGTACCGACATCATGAATCAATATGAATCTTCTTTGTAGAAAAATGTTGTTTTCCCTTATTTCTGTGATTGCTTTAAGCTACATATCAAAAAATGTTTCTATGCTATCAACACTAATGCAAAGACTTGTAAAGCCTACTCTAGCCTCTCTTGTAGGTTTGGCAAAGTGATACGATTTCTAAATTGTAGTTTTAATATGGGACTCTGTATAATCAGAAGAAGTTCGGCGAAAAGTGCGTATAATGTTGTTTAAAATAAAATTAGAAAATTTAGGAGAATGACTGATGCCGAATTTCCATTTAAGCAATACGGTTTTAAAATTTTTAATCTATGACAATTAATTTGAAATAAAATATAAATTATTGAACAACTTAACGTTTTTCAATTGTTGCCTGTAAACATTATGGCAATGATATTTTCGTCATCGTCACTCGGACCCGGCGGCCATAAATAAGCTTTTACGTAGATCTAGATGACTTTATTAATTTCTATAATAATTAGTTAATTATGTACTAAGAATTTGGATCATCAATCTTTGGTGTTCAAAGACTAGGATACAAATGAAAAAAAAAAAAAAAAAAAACAACCAATTACCTGGACAAAATTATTTCTATCAGGTACTTTTAGCGGATTTGCAGGTTTTCCACAGCCGATGTGTTGACACAAAAGTTTTAGTGTAGTTGATCTGAAATCAGAAGGACATATTTTGATCAGTCTCTACCATGTAACAGTAATAATGAGTTTACAGTAACATTTGTCGCTGTCGACCACGTAAATATTAAACCGTAATGCGCACTTCGTAGTGGCAAGAGTAATATTTTCTACACAAATTTTAACGTGGTATTTGGGGACAAACGTTACTGTAACCTCATGATAGGTTGCCAGTTAAATACTTAAAACTTGACGCTATTAAAGACCCCCCCACGTTAGCGATTTTCGAGTGTCGTTCAGTTACCGTTGTGACACTATAAAGATGATATAACTGAAGTTGGCGAGAAGCGCTAGTGCGTTGTGCATTTGTATATACTTCTCCGCCACAAACGTTGCACTGACGCGGCGCCAGCGCGGCGTTTATCCGACGTTCGGTTCTATTCGGCAATCGCTTAGCGTTGGCGTCGAGTTGACGTTGTGCGTGCGCTGGCAAGACTGACGCTCGAAAGATGCTAGTGTGGAGGTTTCTTATACACTTGTTATGGCATCGGATCAACTTAGACTGGTTCAAACGTTATCTAGACATAAAAAAGTCCTCTAGATCTATGATTGATCGAGCTTTATTCGGGTCGAATTATAAATAGTGCCAATAGGTTTTGACAGCACACTTTCCACTGCACAATGAAAGATTTAAAAAAGTTGTATGTATTAATTTTATTGCATGCTGTTGCATCACTATATATTTTATTGTTGTTTTATTTTTAATGTCGCAATTCAAATAGAGGCTTGTATTACTGGTTGACTTAACTTTGATCAATAAATATGTATGTCAAAATGTCTACTTTAGGTAGTAAAAAAGTGTTTGAACTTTATGCATGTCGTTGTTTTTTTGTAGTAGTGACAAGTTTAGGAAGTCGATGGTTATCAATGAAAAAAGATGATTTTTTTATTGTATTAAAGAAACTGTTTTAAAGCTCCTTAAAATTGTAGGGACTGTTTTCGTCGTATTATGCGACTAGGAATACCAAAGGAAGAAATACTGTAGCCTATAAAGGTATAGAGAGGATAAGTCGATTTTTTAAATTACCTAAAAATACCAAAAAAAAAAACTGAGATTAAGGCTTGGCCCTGGAATAAGGCGAGGTCGTGACTTAGTACTGAAATATGCGTTAAAATAGTTAAAACAAGTAACGGAAACGACTTTGTAAATTTGTTACACTACGAGACATTTTTCACAACTTGAAATTGTATTTATTACATCTCCACTTCTAGAAAGTTTTTAGTTTCAATAACAAATGTAAATTTATTAGGTTGTAACGTTTAGTTCTAGTCGCTTTTTAGTTGTAAGCTTTCACTGTGACAGCGTTCGTTTTTTTATAAATATTATTTAATTGAGCGACAGTTTTCCTTTGGGACACGTCTCATGTGTGGTATTATAGATTTCTTTTTGGGTGGATTACATAATTTAAGGTGCGGACGGGGAAAAAATGTGTTTCTTCTCATGATCATTGATATCAAAAGTCAGTAACAAAAAAGTTTAAAGGATAAAAGTTTCTTTTCTCGCCTCAGCATCAAACTAGCACAGCTACGCTTCAAAATGAGTTATTGAAAGCGGATCTAACACACAGTACAAGTACAAAGCATTTCTTTGTCTATAGACCGCAGGTAATTAAGGCTCAATTTACATTGCCCCGGAGAGTAGTGAAAGCGAATTTTTCTAACTATAGGGAATGACCTTTCGATGTCAATTGCGTATCGTACAAATTAGATACGAGCCATTAACGCAGTTTCGGGAATTCCGTCCTAGGGGTCTTCTATCATTCTCCGTCGGAAACAATTACTGTCAAATAAGTCTCGACCAGATTAAAAGACAATGTGAAGTATGAAGCTTCCTTCGCATCATGCATAAACATAATATTCATTATGATATGTACAAAACGTTTCTGCCATTAATATTTTCATTGTAACGCACAGTGTCATTATTATTATAGCAGTTTTCAATCGTGAGCTGGAAATTCACCACGACGTCGTCAATAGAATTATACATATACATTGAATCTAGCTTCTTGTCTTATGCCCATTATGTGTTTACCACGCCGCTTTAATCGTGTACCTGGAAAATACGTCATGGAGTTGATTATTTTTACTTAATCTTTAAGATTTCAGTACTTTTATTTTGAAGCAAGACTGTGCTGGTCTGATGGTGGGGTGTTGATGCTGGTCTGATGGTGGGGTGTTAAATGAACCTCGTCAACAATATATTGACATTATGTTTGTTGTTATATGACTGTACTCTTGTCGCTGTCTGTGCGCACTAAGTTTTGTTAGTAGACCATATAAATTAATTATTGTAAAATTGTCGTCGAATATAGCCTTTTGTCAGAATAATACTTTTTAAATTGTTACCCGAGTGATTTCAGTTTTACGTTAAAAAAGTAATAATGACCACAAGCAATCGGTATTTTGTTTATATAATTTTTTTTAATGCATTTGTCGTGGAGTTATATGACGGACAGAGCTATGATAAGAGTTTAGCCACAAATAATTGTACTAATAATCGTTCGGATTGATTGAAAAAATACTTAAGGATAAGCTCCCCTTTTTACGTTCTATGTAATTCAGCTATTTTTGTGTGTGTGCAATAGAGAATATACACCATATTATTGCCCCCGCAGTATATAAATTATTCATAGAAAACGCGAGCTTTGTATAGGCAAAATGCCAATCGCTGTGGGTCAATAACACCCTTACTGTACTTATAAAATTACTTAAGTCTCAATACGCTATCTTACTCGCACTTGCGATACTCTTAAGTGTGAGCGAGACAAATGGAACGTTATAGTGTAAGAAAACCGACTCTGGTCACAGAAAGCGAGGTCGGAGGGCCGCCTATAGAGTTAGTTTTAAGGGAATTTATTATAAAGAACCTAATGATTGAACGTTTTGTGCATGTTTCTCAAATTGTTGCTTTGCATGTTTGCGTATATTGTACCCAGACATACAAAGTAACGTACGTAATTTAATACGTTACACTAATTAAATTACGTTTGTCCTGTGTGATAAATCCAAAAAAAATGATACAAATTGGGATTTGTGTTTCGACGTCATCGCACTTACATACATCTAGTTGTACACAAATAAGTTTATAAACTTTGAGATATCATTTAAAATTAAATTCAAAATGAAAACAGTGTAGTTTGTCGAGCGTACACAAATCTCGCTGACTGTAAATAATTAAATGTATGTTGTTGGTAACATTTCTACTGTACGCTCTGAATATCTGAGCTAATTAAGCATTGTGTGCCTCTGTGTATAGATTTAGTATCGTTGAATAAATCTTTATAAGGAACTTATTAACATGGTTCGTATAGAGCCCAAAAAGTAAATGGAAATTAAAAGGATACATTCTGCATTTTTTTTATATTACTTGCGAGGTATGTACTAAAAAGTACACGTGCAATACAATAAATGATCTATAATCTAAATTACAAACTGATGAACGACTAAACCGGCTAATCTTTGTGTCGGGTTTTTCAATAGGAACATAGCAATTTTGTATTTTAATAAAACAGAATAATTAGGATATCGAGCTGAAATTGATTCCATGTGCAATATACATGTTACATTTAAGAATGGAATTCAATCTCGTTCATTTGGCTACCGCGAGCACGTTTGCAGTGTTCAATTCTTTGGAGCCAATTTTCCGCCACTATTCCACACATCGGCCGAAACGTTGGGAATTTCGCATTTGATATTGTTCCTAAGCTCATTTAACGTTGTTGGCTTGTTGGGATAAACCAACGACTTAACGTAACCCCATAACAAGTAATTCAACAGCGTTAGATCGCTTTAGCGAGGTTTCCATTCGACTGGACCATTTCGCGAAATTACACGATTATCGAACTTCCTCTCAATAAATCTATTGCTTGATCAGCTGTGTGACCTTTGCAAACGCGGTGGTCATATGAACGAGATCGAATTAAATTCTTAAATGTAACATCTGTGCTGCATCTGGAATAAATTTCAGCTAGATATCTCATTTATTGTGTTTTATTGAAGTACAAAATTGATGTTCTAATCGGAAAACCCTATTGACACTGGTATTCCGTGGTATCTTATACAAATTTCACAGATAATATTCATGTTTATATATTGTCGTATACGCGCCATGATAATACGTTCATTACTTAATGTAAAGAGTAGGAAAACTACTCACTGAAGGCTGACAAAGTAAACTGTGGCTCAACATGTTACGGATTGAAAAAATCTTATAACACGAACGTTGATGACGCTTTTAGCTCTACCATTACAGGGTCGTCCGATAGTACCTTGTCAGTCTTTAAACTTTATCAGAGAGCAAAATGTGAGTAGATTTTTATCAATAAGAAAGATAAT